TGGGTCCTGGTTTCCGTGTGGGGCCACGCCTGTGCCCAGTGTGGGGCCAGGATGAAGCTGCTGTGACCCCCAAGCTGTGCCCTGGGGGGCTGCTTTCCAGGCGACACCTCTCATCCCTGCAGACCGTCCTTTGCTTTTTCGCTTTTTCATCCTGAAGAAAGGAGGACAGGGCATGGATGTGAGATTTCCTGGGGCACGTCGCTGTGACCAGTAGGAGTCTCCAAACCCAGCCTCAGCCAGGAGGGGCCGGCAGCATGGCTGGGTCCTTCTGTTTCCTTTACCTGCTGCGCTCCTTCCCTGGGCGTCTGCGAAGCCATGGTTCTACTTCCTCCAAGCCTGCACTCATTGCCAAGTTTTCGGTGTGGCTTGACCAGGCTGCTCTGCAAGACTGAGCATACATGGGGATGCCTGCTGGCCTGTCCCTGCTCTGCATTCATGCAGGTCACCGACCGCCATCTAACATACCGTGCATTTTATTTATTTTGTTCACGTTTACCTCTCTCCTGCCCCATTAGACTGTAAGCTCTGTGAGGCCAGGGTTTTGCCAGCTCGGTTCCCTGCTGTATTCCCAGCACGTGGCCACCTGTTAGGCAGTTCGTGTTTGTGCAATGAATAGTCCCCAAACTTGGGTCATTCACATCCCACCTTCACAATTCTGGTCATAGCTGTGTCCCACTTGTACTAGCTAATATTTTTCTTTCAACCATCCCCCTTTAAAAAACTTACAGAAATGAAATGTAAGAGAAAGCTTTTTATCACTGCCATAAATGGAAAGCCAATATCACTTGCCATAAATAGAAGACAACTGTTAAAATAAATGCCACAAAAACAAAACAGTGTGAGGGAATTTGAGCAAAAGCCTGTTGCCTGCAGAAGGCAATAGGCTGAGGCCTACTCTCTCCCCCTCTCTTTGCTAAGAGGAGGGGTCAGCAAGTGCTAGAGAGGTGTTAAAGGCAGACCAGCACCAAACCGAGACTTTGTCCCTGATAGGAGGTTTTAGAGAGATTGCATAGGGAACAACTTTCTCACCATCCAGTTTAGACAGTTGGCCTGGTGCCATGCTCAGAACCTCCTAAAATCCCCACCAGCCAGGGTCCTCATTCCAAACTTTGGGGAACAGAGAATCTGGAGAACTCGATAGGGCTACATGTGGAGGGACTGCTCCCCCAGTGTACCTGGTGCTTGGGGCCATGCTAGCCCCTAAGGTGTCTTTGTAGTAAATTTGGAAAAGCTGGCCTCCGGGTGGAGGTGATACCATGCCTCCTGTCTCCTCGGTCCTGTCTTCCTGCCCGGGCTCCCCAGGGCTCCCAGGGCTCAGTGGTCTGGATCTCCATCTTGGCACTTATCCTAGCCCTGCTTGCGCCCCGGTGAGCTGTGTTTGAGCCTGTCTTCCTCACCTGACCAGCAGCTCCCTGGTGTGAGGACTGTCCTGTTTGTACGTGTATCTTCCATCGCTGGGCAGTGTCCTGCATATGACTGGCTTTCAAAAAACATTTGTGGACTTGGTGATTAATCAGACTCAAAATAGCCAACATTTCCTCCTGTCCAGACAAATAATACCAAAAAATACATCTACGCTCTCAGCCCTGGCTTTTTTCTGAAGTTTCCCCAGCACTAGGTGGGTGGGTGGATATTCCGATTTCCCACATCCTTTGGAAGAATTTTGTCTTCCTGACTCCCGAGCTCTCCTTCCCGATCTTTTCTTAGTCTGTCCAGCTGGCAGAGAGTTGCAGTTAGAACGTTTTGTGTTGCAAGTGACAGGAAAACTCAGGTCTGATTGGTTACGTCATAGGGGAGTTTATTGAGCTATACCGTTTTGAAGTCTGGAGGTAACGTTAGCATCAGGTGAGGCTTGGTCCAGCAACTCCAAAGATGTCACCAGAGACCTTGCTTCTCTCCATCTCTCTTGTCTGACCTCCTTGAGAGTGTCACCCTCCGGCTCCCCACAGAGCCTTCCCCCACCCCCACCTGTGCAGCTCCACACTACGCCCTCCTGGTAGCAAGATAGCTGCCGCCATTCTCATCTTATACCATGTCCTTCAGGGGAAGAGTGAAGATCTCGCTTCCAGGTTTGCTTTCCCAGAAACTAGGAATACTCCCGTGTCTCATTGACTCTGATTTTGTTACCTGACCATCTCTGAACGAATAGCCACAGCCAGGGGGAGGGGATATGCTGGGTGGCCAATCGGGTGGTCCGCTCCTGAAGGTGGGTGTGGCATCAGCTCACCAATCATAGGCTGAGATACAAGACGGGTTAGTCCTAAGAGGAGTTTGGAGGTCGGTTTCCAGAAGGAAGAAGGGATGGATTCTGGGGGCAAACCACAGATGTCCTCAACGTGGGGGAGGTAAGCCAAGCCAGCCAGCCACTGTGGGGCTTGTTGGACTTTTATAACAGCTTCTTTTCCTCCCCAGAATACAGTTAGGTGATACTATAGGCAGGGGCCAATCTCTGAATCCAGGTGCTGCCGGGTTCAGAAAGGGTAAGAGTAACCACGTGAAACGCACTCCAGGCCCCACACAAAGTCATAGAAGGTTAGGGCTGGAGGAACCATCGCTCAGGGGTCTTACCCTAGGATGCACAGACAGGAACCTCTGAAATTACTTGCCAGATCTGCGGGGTCCTGTGTGTGCGGTTTTCTGGGCAGAGGATCCACAACTTAATGAAGTCTCTCAGGGGTCTGCAGCCTGAAGGAGGTTCACTGGGGTGGGCAGCTACATGCTCAAGTTAGAACAAGAGATGGAGACAGAATCCAAAAGAGAACCTGGGTCTCCCAGTTCCCCGCCCCTCTGGGCCTGGGTGGGATATCACCACAACATTCTCACTGTGTGTGCACCCATCTACAGGACTCCCCTCCTTTAATTCAATCCCCTGCAAGTGCCCCACGAAGTAGCTGCTGTCCGCATTTGGTGGATGAGAGAATGCATGCTTTGTTCAAGGTCACAAGTGGCATAGCGGGTTCAAGCCCAGGTCTGGGTCCACAGCACACCAAGCTGCCTCCGTTGACTTTTTTGTCCTTACTCTTTAGAGCCATGCAGAGATGGGCGATCAGGGGATGGGGGCTCAGAACTGCCAGGCTACAGCCTGGAAAAGGGACTCCACTTTGGCTTTGCATCTAAGGACATCCACCTCGGGACTGCTTGTCATCTGCTTCGCCTCCCAGAACTTCAGGTCCCTCAGCCTGAAGTGGGACCAACAATCCTTACTTTGCAAGGCTGTTTTGCGGGTCCTTATATCATGTGCATGGCCAGGCCTAATGGGTGAGAGGCTGCTCCTGGTCTTGGGGACCTACGGCGTCTTTTAGAGGTCGTCTGGTGGCTCGCTGGGACCGGCTTCCGCACAGCTCACAGAGGAGGCGGGAAAATCATTCTGAGTGACAGCGTGGCTCAGGAAAGCAAGCCTGGGGGGAAAGTCACTTGGCCAGGTGAGAAAGCTGTGGGGGCTGGGATTTGGACCCAGGTCTGTCTGAGGCCAAAAGTGGTGCGTTCCTGCGCCCTTGCTCTCTATGAGCCACAGGGCAAATTCGTGCACTGTTTAATTAAGGTGCCTGGGACCTCTACAAGGCTGGCCTGACCACCATTTAATTTAGACTTGTTCCTTGCAAGCCTGTCAAGGAAGTGCCAGGGGCCACGGCCTGACTGGGGACAGCCTGGCCCAACCTCATTGCTCCTCTCGCCCTCCCAGCCTGCTGTCCCCAAGTCGCTTCCAGCGCAGGGGTCACCGGCCCCATTGGCCACGGCAGGGCCAGGCTGCCCTTGGGTCCAGCTCGGGAAGGGGGCTCGGGGGGCTTCCCGCTCCAGCGTGGGGAGCTACCGCCACCTCACACTGCTCCGAACGGCTGCAAAAGCCATAAAGCAGCAGAGAAAAATGACGGCGGGCGAGGAAACGAGCCACGGAGGAAATTAACTCTCACCCGGGGAGCTGCACGGCTTTCTGCTGACAGAGAGGGCCGGCTAGCTCATAAAACTGAACACTTAAACTCTCCTCTTTACAATAATTACAGCGCCTTGCACGCCTCTTCCCCCTGCCCCGGCTGGCCCAGGCCTGCTCCGCCAGGGGCACCAGGAAGGCCCGCAGGGGAGCTGGGCCTCCAGAGGGAAGGGATGGAGCCCGTGTGGCCGGCGGGGCGCGCCAAAGCCTGTTAGAGCTGGATGGGACCTGGGGCCCCGCTGCTCCAACCCCTTCATTTGACCGATGAGGAACCTGGGGGCCCAGAGAGGGTCGGTGACTAAGTGAAGGTCACCCAGCCAGATATAGGTGGGATGGACTAACGCAGCTCCTCTCCCTGTGGGCAGTGAGACCCACTTCCACCAAATTGCTGCCTTAATTCCACAGACATTTCCTGAAGCCCATCCATGAACCAGACTCTGTGCCAGAGCCCAGTGAAAACACCACGGGCCTGTCCTTGGCCTTGGTTAGAAAATGGAGCTCCCGTCCCCCTCACACCACGTCTGCACTCAGAACGACACCCTCCTGACTCCAGGAAGCCCTTCGGGGGGGACTTCAGAGTGGCAGCTCCGATGGCTTCTGCTAGGAGTGTCCTCCTTCGCCCCTGGCCGTCTGGGGCAACCCCAGAAAGACAGCGACTAGAAGCTTCCCAGCAGCAAAGATCCTCAGGCGCGAAGGGCATGTCCGCCAGCTAGGGCGGGTCGGACTCCAAGCTGGAGAGGACAGGGCTGCTCCCTAGCTGCAAACTGCTCCCTGGGCCTTCGACCCCAGCTTCTGTCTAGCTCTCTACCCCGCCTTCAGGGCCGCCCAGCGGCTCTGCTGCCCGGGACCCCTGCCACTCTGACCCCACACCTGCTTCCCAGCCGGCTCTACCCGCCCGCGCCCCCCCCCCCCCGCCGTTCCTCACTCTCGGACTCCTCCCCCTGCAACAGCCTTCTTCTCCTGCTTGGCACTCAGCCGGCTCCTGTCCTTCCAACGCTCCCCCACCGTCCCCCTCCCTGAGTGAGGGACAGCTGTTGTTTGTTCCTGCAGGCATCATCCCCCTCTGCGGGCCGGCCCCTCCCCTTGCTGAGTCCTTGAGGTCTGGAAGGAGCTGATCCCTGTGAGGGGGTAGGGCGGTGCGGGCCCCAGGCCTGGCCATCCGCATACCGCATTGCCTTGGTTACCAGAGTAGTTGAGAGATAAACTGGAAGACCAAAGTCTATCAAGGCCAATCCTGGGACTGTGGGGAGGGGTCCTCTTTCGGTTGGGCCAGCGGAGCGGAGGTAAACCTGCTGCTGCCCAGGACTTGACAGGGAAGTCAGTGACTGAGGAAAGTGTCCAGAGATGGGGACTTACAACTTCCTGAGCACTTGTTGAGCGCCTGGATCCAGGGGTGCCTGAAATGGTAGGAGTCAGGAAATAATCTTATTTATAATGATATTAATAATAATTAGATTATATAATGATATGATTATGTTTAAAATTATATAATCTATTAATTACTATTATTGTCGTGGTGTGTGTATTGTGAATGAGAATTTTATTATTTCTATTTTGCTTTAGCGTGTCTGAATTTAGTTTCTGTTGCTTGTAACTGAAAGATTCTGAGTAATATGGCAAGACCCCCTGTTTAAGGACCCAGCTAACACTGTAATAGCCTCTTCCCAGTTCCTTGAGAGAGAGAGAGAGAGAGAGCGCTGTCTCAAGACCTGCCTGGGCCTGAGCTCTTGGCTCTGTTACTCCCTCTGTAAGTGAAAGGCTGGGTCTTCTTGGTTTGCTCAGCCACGGCTTCCTGTCGCTCTGGGGACAACTGCATTAAGCAGAAGGGTCCAGCTGTTCCTGCCCAGGCTCCTTAAAGGTCCATATCATGACTTTTTCCCAGACCCTGGCTCCCAAAAAATGTGAGCAAGAATACAACCAACTTAGCTAGCCAATTTATGCTTCTAGTGGTGAATCATTGTACATGTAGATTTGTTAGCACATACATTCTTGTGTTAGAAGGCACATTAGGCTATTGAAAAAGAAAATTAGGAATGAACATATGGTGGCCCCTGTTCTACCGGCCAACCCAATATCCACCCTCCTCTTCAATCTCTTTGCCTGGATACTTTTCCTGTGGAACCACCCCTCTCAGGAGATGGCCACTTGGGACAGGCATCTACCTGGCCAAGGCTTGTCCACCCAAAGCCTGCCATGCCTGACATAATGATGTCAGGGTGGTCACATGACCCTGGACAAGACAAGAGGACTCCATTCTGGGTCATTTATTACATCCATGAAAAATGGAGTCCCCTCTTTCCTCTGGGGTAGTCGGCCTATAGAAAACAAATCTGGAGCTCCTGGGGACCACTTCAGAGAAGGAGGCTGATGAAAAAATAAAGCCAATGCAGAGGAAACAGACCTGGGTTGGGGGAGAGGAGCAGAATCCTAGTGACAGTGTTTTTATGCCTGGATCCAGCCATGCCTGATGCTGCAGCTCATACCCTTAGACTTCCTAGTTCCCTCGTCTTCTTGAGTTGGTTTGAATTGGGTTTCTGACTCTTGCAAACAAAAAAGTATGGATGAATATAGTAAGTATTCCAAAGAAGTCACTTTAAGGAAATAACAATGACAACATTTTACAAGATGCCAAAGTCATGTATGACTGGTATTGTAGACAAGATCAATAACAGGATAAATGGACTATGAGAGGAGACTGGCCCCTCTGTGCAAGCCAGGCTCTGAGTAGCTGGGTAAATAGAATAGTGCTTTTCTCTTGCACCTTTGGTGTATACCATGACTCTCAAGTGATGGGACAGTTTCCACTAGCCTTAGTTACCAGGTGACCCTGTGCAACTTTGTTGACTGGCTCAGGTTTTTCCTCCTTTTCCTGTCAAAGGGAAAAACAGGAGGCACCATTAGTTAGCAGGGTCCTGAAGGCTGGCTGTACACCCCACCTCCATGCCCAGAGGGAAGGAGGTGGGGGCTCCAGGTAGAAGAGGGACGTCCGTCAGGTGCCGCATGAGTCCTGCTCCCGGGTCTCCTGGTACAGCTCTACGGGGTCTACAGGAGTGCCCTGTAGTCAGAGCACTCAACATGGAGGCCCTGCCTGTTCCCAGCCCACTCCCAAATACTAGGCTGGCAAGAATTCTAACTGGAAGACATATTACCCAAGGAAACAATCGCTCTCAGGCCCCAAGTTGTTAATACAATGCTTCTGGAGTCCTGTTTAGCTCCATTTCTCCTTTGTGCACAAAGAAAAGAAGACATAGATGGCTTTGAAAAATTCTCCAAAGAAGTTGCCAAAGGTCCTACCTTCTAAATCCTCTCTGTCTCTGTCTCTCTCTGTCTGTCCTGTCTCTCTCTCACTCTCTTTATTTCCTTCCTGCATCACTGAGAGCTTGTGTCATTCCCTGCTCACAGCTGCTCATTGCCAACTGAATTGAATCTAAAGTTTTGGCCCCGATTCTAAATGCCTCCCGGACCCTGATCCCCATGTACCTTTCTAGAGCCAGGTCTTCCTGTTCTAGGCCCTCTGGCTGCTGGCTCTTCCCGAGGCACATCCTGTCTTGCTGGTGCTGCTTCATCCCTGGAATGCCCCCATGGGCCTAATAGCTACCATTTATTGTGCTCCCAACACATGCCAACCCTGCGCTCCTCATTCAGCCTCTGAGCTGTACACATCACCGCCCCTTCTAGGGACAGGCAAACAAGCTCTCAGAGAAGTCAGGTGAGTCGCCTCCGCTCACACAAAATTATGGGGAGAGGGTCAAGAATCCAAACCTCCTGTGTCTGGCTCAAAACCCTTTCCTGGTTCCAGCATCCCCGTCTCCCATTCCTACCCGTGCAGACCCTGCAAATGCAATATCCGGTACTCTCCTTCCTGAAGTGCTCCCTCAACCTCCCCATAGAAATCAACTGATATCTTTTTTGATGCTCATACCCTATGTTATCAGGCAGGTTTCCGGCAGGAGACAGAGGGCTAGGACTCTGAGAAGAATTTAATGAGGGCTTCGTTTGCAGAGATGCAGGCAGGGTTAGAAGGGAAGGCACGATGGGTGGGGAAGCACCAGCGACAAGCCATGTGGGAAACCACTGTTCCCCCAGCAGAGGAGGGGGAGGGAGGAGCAGTGTGACCAGAGCTGGGCAGAGCTCCTGCAGGGAAGGGCCATCCGTAGTTGCTCAGGATACAGCCCCCATCAGAGGCAGGGAGAGAGGAAGGGAAGAGATACTACTCCTGCTCCTTCCACCCTCCAGTGTCCCTGCAATGTCCTCATTTGGGAGCCTGAGGTCCAGGGAGCCTGGGTGTGCAGCCGTGAGAGCGTTAGCTTCCCACACACAGAGCTGAGAGAGAAAGGGGCAGAGTGGGGGTGGGAGGTGGAGGAGGGTGCTGTATTGCTTTCTGATTACCACCAACTTGGTGACTTAGAATAACCCACATTTATTCTCTTACAGTTCTGGGGGTCAGAAGTCCAAAATGAGTCTCACGTGTCAGGGCTGCATTCCTTCCAGGAGGTTCTGGGCGAGAATCTGTTTCCTTGCCTTTACCAGCTTCTAGAGTCTGCCTGCATTCCTTGGCTCATGGTCTCTTCCTCCATCTCCAAAGCCAGCGTTGGTGCCAGCCTCACGTTACCATCTCTCTGGTTCTCATCCTCTGCCCTCCTCTCTCTCCCATTTAAGGCCCCTGTGATTACTTTGGGCCCATCCAAAGAATTCAGGATAATCTTATTTTAAGATCAGTTGATTATCAGCCTTAATTTCATCTATAACCTTAATTCTCTCTGCTGAGTAATCTAAGATATTCCTGAGTTCTGGGGGTTAGACTGTGGACATCACTGGGGGGCCATTATGCTGCCTACCGTAGGTGCCAAACAGAAAACAGTTGGCCCACCTGCCTTATATGCCGGTTACCCTGGGGACTTGGTTTATTTCCTCTACTAGTGGAGACATCTAGAGGACAGGACAGTTTGGATTACCAATTGCATGTAACAATCGCTCCAAGACTCAGTGGCTGAAAGCAACACTTCTTTATCGTCACTCATGCATCTGGGGATCAGCTTGGGTTCAGCTGAGCAGTTGGCTGCTGGGTCACCTCTGTGTCTCGCTGGGCATCCGTGTTGGCTGGGGTGGCTCTGCTTATGTGTCTCTCATCCCCTTGGACCAGCAAGCCAGCCGACTGGGCTTTTCCCAGGCAGGGACAGAGATGTACAGCAAAACAAGGAGGAAACACACGGCGCCTTCTGAGCTGTCACTTCCACCCATCTGCCATTGGGCACGGCAAGTCCCATTGGCCAAGCCCCAAGCTGAGGGGTCAGGAGATGCACTCAGCTCTCGGGGAGCTTGTTGGTGGAGACAGGGCGGAGGGAGAAATGGGAGTACAATCTAGTCCATTCCGGGGCCACTTCTTAATCATATTTGCTTTCCTACTATTCCAGAACATTGTTTTTTACCGGCTTGGGTCTGCATGAAAAGGTATCAAGTAAATGAATGAATGAACGAACAAACGAACTAACAAATGAGCACCCGTAGGGAGGACACGCTCATCCAGGCTTAGTGTCTCTCACTATGGTGGAGGTGCGCTGGGGGTTACAGCTGGCAGAGCACAAACTCCTTTGTCTGGTGAGAGATTTTGCAGTGTGAGAGGGGGGAGAGGACACCAGGAGCTCAGCTCCCTTGTGGGGTGGGGTGGGGGGGCACCCAAGGGGTGCGGGAGTGCCCGGGAAGGTGCGGTTCCTGCAGATGAGCCATCTCTGGCACCTCTGTTCCTTTGCTCCTTTTCTCTTTTCCCCTGAACCCCTGGCCAATGGGACAGGCTGGGGCTGAGCCCACAGTACTCAAGGCTGCCACCGGGGCAGGCCCGGCCCCCCAAGATGCCTGTGGTCTCCTGAGGACGCAGAGCGCAGCAAGTGAGAACAAGAGGGTTGCAGAGTCTGTGTGACGGAGCATGGAAAGAGTGCCTCCAGGCAGCCTCGGAGCTGAGCCTGGAAGACCAGCCCCTGCTCTGAGGCAGATAAGGGGAGAGCGGCCGTCAGGGATGGACGCAGACGGCGTGGACAAGCGCACTGCCCCTGTGGGGACCCATCTGGCAACTAAAGAAGTTCGGTGCTCCTGGACAGTGTGTATGAACCGTGGGGAGGCAGGCTGCGTGAGTGACCGACAAGGAAGGGCATGGTTTTACACCAACCGGTTTGGATTTATCCTCTAAGCCAGGGGTTGACAGACTTCTTGTGTAAAGGACCAGAGAGCAAGTATTTCAGGCTTTGTGGACCATACAGTCTCTCTCGCACCTTCTTAACTCTGCCGTTACAGCGTGAAAGCGGCCCGGCCGCAGTCAGTATGTAAATGAACGGGCATGTTTGTGTTCCAGTAAACTTTATTTATAAAAACAACCATAGCCCAGATCTGGGCAGTGGCTCCAGTTTGTCAATCTCCGCTCCCCACCCAGAGTCACACCCTGGCAGCCTGCAGGCCAATTCTGTCCCACAGATTTTTGTTTTGTATCATTTAGCCAACATTAAAAGATGAACTGATTTCACATAAAAATCTAAATCTAGATTCCCGGGTTCCTTAAAAAGTCTGAAGCTCCAATTACACCAGGCTTTCAGTCCTATGTGGCAGTAAGCAACTGGAGGCCCCTTTCACCAGCTCATGGTCTCTCCAGTTTGCCAGAGTCTCTGCCACTCCCTCTTGCCTCCCACTTACCTTTCCCCCTGCTTTGCTAATGTTTTGTTTGTCCCCCACTCCCCCCAATTGTATTCGTTTCCTGGGGCTGCCTAGTGACAAAGAGCAACAAACTGGGTGGCCTAAGTGACAGAAATGTGTTGTCTCACAGAACCGACAGTTCTGGAGGCTGGAAGTCCAAGATCAAGGCATCAGCAAGGTTGGTTCCTTCTGAGGGCTGTGAGATCTGTTCCATGCCTCTCTCCTGGCTTCTGGTAGCCTCGGGCATCATTGCAAATGTCATTCTCCCTGTGTCTTCCCATTGTGTGCCCAACATGCGTGTCTGTCTGTGTCCAAACATCCCCTTTTTATAAGGACATCAGTTATATTGGATTAGGGCCCACCCTAATGGCCTCATTGTAACTTGATTACCTCTGTAAAATCCTTACTGCCAAATAAGGTCACATTATGAGGTACTGGGGATTAGGACTCCAACATATCTTTATGGGGAAGCACAATTCACCCACCCATCCCTTCATGGCCTTAGTATTTCCTGCCTGGATGCCCCTGCCATTGGCAGTGAAGACCCAGAAAAGCGTTCTTGAAACATTTGGCTCTGCCTTTACAAAGATTTTACAGTTAACAGCATGGCCGATGTCTTTGGAGGGGGCAAGGCCTAGACTCAGAGGCCGGATGATGGGGACGGATATGCGGGTACCTGGGCCAGATGGAACCAGAGGAGGTGGCAGGGTCAGAAGGGAGCTGGGAGGTAAAACCCACCCGAGGAGCTTGGTGAGAGCCTGGAAGGGGGGAGAGGGAGAGGGAGGCTAATGTCCAGGTTTTAGGTTTTTGGGGTTTTTTTTAAGATTTTATTTAGTTGAGAGAGAGAGAAAGAGCAGGGAGAGGGAGAAGCAGACTCCCCTCTGAGCAGGAAGCCCAGTGTGGGGCTTGATCCCGGGCTTGATCATGACCTGAGTGGAAAGCAGACGCTTAATGACTGAGCCACCCAGGCGCCCCCAGGTTTTAGGTTTGAGAGAACAAGTGAGCAGTTGTGCTTTTGCTGATGGAGGGAGTAGATTTCAGTGGAGATTTCATACAGGTGAAAAGCACAGGCTGAGATGGGGAGAAGACAGAATTGTACTCACAGACTTTCCACTGGAAGAGAGCTAGGACAAGCTGACAGAAAGAGGCAGGGGAAGTTCAGGAGGCAGGAGGGGGCACAGAGCAGGGGAGAATGGATGGGAACACCTCAGAGGATGGCAGCCTGCCAGGTCTCACAGGGTCTTCAGAAACCATGTAAGCCCAGCACAGACTGATTTGTCGGTCCTGATTTTTACACCTCTCTCATGTGACTGCAGTCTCTCTGTACAGAAGCTGAGTGTCTTCCTGCTCTTTAAATTTGGGATCAGTCATGGGACAAGCTTTGGCCAATGGGATGTGGGCAAAGGTGCCCATTCCTGGCCTTCAGGGACCTCTTCATGTTTCCAGTTTTCTTCTTGGGCCTCTGCCATCACCACTTGAAGACATGACCTGGCTATCCCACTAGTCCAAGGAAGGAGAGAGCTAGATGGAGCAGAGCTAGACCCAGCCGGCCACCTGGTCGTCCAGGCAACTGCAAACAGTTGGAGGAGTCAAATAATGCTTATTGCTGTATGTCACTCAGAGTCTATGGCTGTTTGTTACTTAGCAACAGCTAACTGAGATGCAGTCAAATCGCACCATTTTGCAGATGAGGAAACTCAACTCTCAAGATGGTAAGAGATTTGTCCAATGGTATATAAATAATAAACTGCAAAGATCTCCTGATTCTTCGCCTGAGATTCTTTCTTTCTACTCCATTGCAGTGACTGTCACCTAGCCTCTGATTTGTTCATTCATCCATTCAACAAGTGAGTTACTAGAAATACCTAGATAACTTTTTTCTTAGCCCTTGAAGAGCTCCTTGTGGTCATGGTGGGGAGATAGATCCCAAACAGATCACAATAAATGTGGCAAGTGAGGCCCTAGAGATGTGCTCAGGCACCCAGAATAGGCAACTAACCCAGCTAGGGAAAATCAGGGCGGCCTTCCTGGAGAAGAGGGTATCTGAGCTGAATCATAAAAATGAGCCAAAGCAGAGGAAGGAAGGGGTTGGCATAAGCCTGGGCGAGAGCTGAGGTACAGCCTGGGCCTGTGCATATGGTGGGGGCCCAGGCAATAGGGGGCAATAGCAGGAGAACTTCAAAGTCCCTAGAGCTATTCAAGCCATTTCAGGGACTGGCAGGAGATGGGCCTGGAGATGAAAGTGAGGCCCACATCTGAGCCTTTATCCGAAGGGCTCAACCCTTTCACCAGCAGGTGTTTGGAGGCCATTGTGAGCGTGGTCTTGGACCAGTCGTCTCATTCCCTGGGCCTTGGTGTGTGCATCCCTAATATGAGGAACCCGACCAGATGGTCTTTTGGGGCCTCTCCAGCTCTAAAGCCATTGTGGGGGACTGCCTGGGGTGGGCACACCATGGAGGAGACTGTCAGTCCTGGCAGCCGATCCAGGCCAAGAGCTGAAGAGTCCGGGCCCCCTCTGCCTGCAGGATGGAATTTGGGCAGCATCTCCAGGAGCCAGGCAATCCTTCTCTCTGCTTTGGTGAGGAGCGGGGAACTCTCCTCTGAGCCAAAGGCTGGTCCAGGAACGTGAAGAACAAGGACAAGTTGGACATTCAACTTCTAATATAGGAGCATCCAGATGGAGGCAGTGACTTTCTGTTTCACTTCCTCTTCTCGCAGAGGGAACACGGGGGTTGGGATTAGTCACTGGCCAGAGGGGAAGGGGCCTTTCAGGTGGCCATCCAGGCTTAAAGCGCCGTGTCCTGCCACCCTGCCTCAGAGCCCCCAGCAGAGGCCACCTGGAGGAAAAGGGACACCTAATACAAGAACCCACTATTTGACAGAAGAGGGCCAATCCAGCCAGGCTGGCAAGAAAATTTCAGGTAATTGATGTTATTTTCCCATTGACTATGTTCTGCTAGAAAAGATTTTGGTTACAGGGTGTAATCGAATCATACTTAAGAATTCTGCTAAAAGATTACGTTTATAATGAGAAAAAGGAATCTGTGGCATGCCATCCTCAGAGGGCAATTTGGCAATACCCATGAAAATGGGAACCACGCACATTCTTACATGTAGCAATTCCACTTGTGGGAATGGGTCCGATGGGCGTTTGCACACGCGTTCACGCCTGTGTGGGAAAAGATGCTCTTCTCGGCATTGTTTATGGTAGTAAAAGACTGGGAACAACCTCAGCGTCATCAGTAAGGGACGGGGGAGACTAATCAACAGTACATCCGTACGATGGAATATTAGGCAAATGTCAATAAGACCGTGGCAGTTGTCCATGAGAAAAGATTCTCGAGCAACGTTTAAATGAAAAAAGCCAGAGGAATGACACTGAGCAGGCTATGCTCCACGTGTGTGGGAATGAGGAGGAGAAATAGAAACAGGAGCAGGAACTCCAGACCACTTTCCCCGTGGCTGCTTTACGAAGGACACAGACTTGGCTGGCTTAAAACAGTAAGATTTTTTTCTCTCACCGTCCTGGAAGCCAGAAGTCTGAAATCCAGGTGTCAGCAGGGCCACGCTCGCTCCTGAAGCTTTGGGGGAGAATCCATTCATTGCCTCTTGCAATGGTGATAACCGGCCTTTCTCGGCTCGTGGCCCCAGCACCCCAGTCTCTGTCTCCCGGGTCACATTGCCACGTTGCCTGCCCTTCTTCCCTGCATCTATTTTATAAAGATGCTTGCACTGGATTTAGGGCCCGCCTGGCGAATCCAGGATTATTTCCTCATCTCCAGATCCTTACTCAATTATATCGGCAAATACCACCCCCCCTTTTTTTTCCAAATAAGGTCACATTCATAGGTACCAGGGATTAGGGCATGGGCATAGTTTTGGGGGGTCCACCATTCGACCTACTTCGGATTCCAGTTCCTTTGGAGAGTGGAGGCCTCTTGGAAGGGAGACCAAGAGCCCAGGGGTCTGGGTGAACGGAGACTTGCTTTTCATGGGAACGCTTTCTGTAGGCTGCAGACTTCTTTCCCATGAGCACATGTTACTTATTTTAACAAACTTCAAGAAGTAATCCAGCTAGCCAACGTTTTGAGCTCCTTAAAAGGGTCTTTTGCACACATCATCTCATCAGAACGCCAACTGCCCTTACTCATCGCCCTGACCAGAGTGTCCAGCTCACCAGGGCAGGGGTTGGCCTTAAACATCTTTAGTGGGTTCCACAGCCGAACCCATACCAGGTGTCAGGAAGGTCCTGCTTATGGGGTTTGAAATCCATATTCAAATGAAAAAATGGTAATTTTCAGTTTCACCAAGGATATGACTCAAGATGTTCATAAGCAAGATGCACACTTAAGTTCCAAATAGTGAAAACTTAGTTTCCAGGGTTGCTTACACAGTAGAAATAGTCCCCACTGCAGGAAGGACAATCCTTCAAGCAGGGGCCAGAGGATCCTTCAATGCCGTGAGGGGCCAGGTTGTGATGTGTGGTGGGGTGAGGTGGGGCTTGTTTCCCAGAGCATCTTAGTGGGTTGCTTGCAGGCAGACACACTTTGCTTGCATATTAAACATGTCACAATTGTCTCGATGGCTCAAGAAATAGTCTGTCCCCCATCTTTTCTCCCTCTTGATCTGTGTTTTGTTTGCCTACTTTCAATAAAGAGGAGCTTTGAGAAGTATATTCTTTTCTTAAATCTCCAGAGAGAAAATCAACTGGGCAAACTTGATGACAAATGGCAACTGACACTTGGCCTCAGGGTGGGGAGACCTTGGGGGACGGTGGAGACTGTGACAAAGAGGTTGGAGCTCTAAGGGACGGCCCGCACCCAACCCCAGCCCAGCACCCCAGAGCTTCAGGCTTTTCAGGAGAAACTGACTATCCAAATTTGTATGTAAACTCTCCCAATAATTTAATGTAGGAAACGGATTTAAATTTTTTGTAACCGCTGTATAGGCCAAATAAAACATACTCATGTCAGATCTAGCCTG